GCACAATGGAATCCTTATTTGCTGCTTGTCGGAAACCCGGATTCAGGATCCTACTACTCACTTGAGTGCGCCAGAGTTGTTGACGAGATACGTTCTTACCGTATCAGGCGACTATGGAGCTCGATTAGTAGACCGGCGCGGAGTAGCTATTGTACTGAGTAATAGGGTGGAGCCTTCTCTTATCGATTGGATCCCCGTCAACAGTCGTTTATGTGAGTGCCTCTCCAGGGTCCAATCAGCGTCCGGAAGGAAGGCAACACCAAGACGTGTTTATTCATCATTTCAGCATATGCACCAACCAATTGCAGTTCTGATATCCAAAAGAACGCTTTATACGGTGAACTCATCGATCTCATCCGGATAAGTCGATGCTCCGACATAGTTGTACTTGCAGGTGACTTCAACGCGCAGGTTGGAAAACAGCGCATCAAAAGCTTGCCTAGGCGGTAGCTGTGTTCTATCCTCCCAACGAACAGATTCCGGCGATCGACTTCAGTTCTGTGCAGACCATCTGTTCCCATCAAGCACCAACTTTCAACGCAGCTCTCGACGGACGGCAGCGTGGTGCTCCAGCTCAACTGGTACCCTAACTCAAATCAACCACATGGCAGTAAGTTACCGTTGGCGTGGCTCAGTGCGAAATTGGAGGTCCAATTCAACCAACTACGTTGAGTCTGACCTCGCATTAATTTTGACGCAGTTCACTCCGACTGATCGGCGACAAAACCAGTGAACTCGATAGCTCATCAACAACTATCTTTTCCAACAGTTCGTGCACTCTGAGTCAGGGCTAATGCGTAAGTTGGGTGCGCCTCGGCGTGGTGATGTAAACGAACAGTGGGATCAGGTTATGCGAGCGATGCATCCCGCAGCGAATTTTGCTTGTGGATCTGAGCTTCCAACCCGCCGGAAGCTTTGGATCTCTCAGGAATCAGTAGTCCTGATGGAGTAAAAGCGGCAAGTCCTGACCTGCCAGGATCAAAATTGAGTTAGGTGGCAGCTACAACATCGGCTCAAGAAAGACCGTGAGAACTGATGGACAACGGTTGCTAGTGAAATGGAAGTAGCAGCTGCATCAGGGAATAGTCAAAGACTTCCAACTGAAACGGGAGGTCGGCGAACCACAGTTAATGAAACATGTGACAAAAATTGGAGAGTTATTAACAGTAGAGATCAACGACTCGGTCGCTGGGCAGAATATTTCAGCGAATGGTTCAGCTGGCCTAAAGCTAACTAGGCTGCTTCATCCCCGACTGAAGCTCCGTGTGCAGTGCCATGCGTTCCTCCAA